AAATTAAAATGGCTCATTTCACAACGGCATTCTGCAATAAAGTTAAACATAAAACCTATAATAATTAATAATAAGAACAATGGTAATAACGTAGAACAAATCATATCACCTATGAACTTCAACATAGATAATAGCAAAAATTTACACAAAGTACAAGATAAATGGTTCATAAATCTGACAGAAACACAAATACCTACAGAAGTACAATATTTATTACAATTAGGAGAACGGTTCAATCTTCCTAATTACAATAAAAAACGAAATACCATTGAACTCATCAAAAATATAGAAAGAAATATAGAAAGAGAAGACGAAGAATTGCAGAGTGTGGTGAGAAATAAGACCATAGAAACAATAAATAATATGTGAAACAATAACACAAAAATAAATCACAATAAAAAGTTAATTACTAAATATAAAAAACAAACACAAGAATTTATCGAAAAACACCCTAATATAATATTTACAAGAGCGGACAAGGGGAACACCACGGTGGCAATGGACAAATCTAAATATATAGCAGATATGGAAAAAATATTAGAGGATACCCAGTAAACATTCGATATCTTATGTATATACATGAAATATCCATAATGTGAAAAAAATGTACTGTATATACTATGTACATACATATGATATAGGCTGATGTAGGTACATTTATGGATATACATAGAATAAGTTATTAGTTCGTTCGCTTTCCGCTATGTGACGCATTATGCGCTATCTATCTCGTATTTAAGTTTTAATCATGAAAACTATATAAAACTTGCAAAAGGCGGGTAATAATATTGAAGTCTTCAATTTGAAAAGATGTAATAACTTTTTCTATCAGTTTAATATCTGAATCCCAACACAGGGAATTTAGATAAACTGATTGTTCAAAAATTGGGTAGATAAATATCCGAATAAATGAAAATTGTTTATCATTAAAAAACGTACTGTATATACTATGTACATACATAGAATGTACCTCATGTACATGCCACAAATTTGTATTGCACATCCTCGGAATATATCCTATGTACATACTGCGAACGTGCACTGCACATCCTCGGAATATACCCCATGTATATACCACAAATGTACACTGCATATTTTTGGAATATACCTATGTATGTACTATGGACATCCTATGTACATACATGTGGTAATTATTTCACATACATAGGATATGCGCTTTATATACTTTTCACATTTTCTGTATATACATAGAATATACAATATACATATATGTATATACATAGGACGTACATAGAATGTCCTAAA